TCGTAGTAGTGATGATGGTCATTGTCAAGGTGGTATTGATTATGATTTTGTCAAATGGTCGGGAACTGTGTTGATCGATACGATCGTGCACCTCTTTATGTAGTTATCAACAGTTGATCTGTTGAATGGGATGACACGGAATCAAGACCGGATATCTAAACTTTTGACAGTAAATACGTATATACTCAAAAGTTACCTTGGAAATTATTATTTAAAATCTATTTTTCGATGTCATAGGGAGTAGAATGACGTTAGTAAAAGACTGACTGACAATCTGCCAAAAGTACTATTAACAAACAGGGAAGCACGTGACTAAACATCGCATCGTGATTGGTTTTCATGGGTAGCTAAAAGTAGTGTCACCGCAGGGTGTTTGATTGGAATGRATCAAACTTTTCTTGAACATCACGCACACTGCGCCACTCCATCAATGGACAAAGTAACTCAACAGAAAACCTAAAACYCAACTCAAACAAGATTTTTTATGGYCTTCGAGCTATTATAAACTCATCCCTTTCTGTCGCCAAATAGTAAATATTGACCTAATGACGTCATAACAGGGGCAAAAGTGTGACGAACACGGCAGGGACTTTGCTTGATATWTTACCATACTGCATAAAGCCTATTGTTAAAGTGTTCGCAGGGGYTGTATATTTTCACCGTATCATCGATATTCTAAGGATAATAGTGATGATAAATGCTTATATGAATGCATATATGAGCGTATTGTTATCAGCGATTAGTGTAAGCTGATATTATGAACTTTTAATAAGTCGTTAAACAATCGTTTTTATTGCCTCCTGTGACTGTCTGTAGATCAGTTATTGATAGGGATAACATGTCATCACAGCAGATTCTCGAACAACAAGCCTTCCGATGTTTACAATGATCAAGTGTTCGATTTATCGATCAAGTGTTCCATTTGATCGAATCAGAAATCAAAATCTACCTTTAAGTGATTTGTAAGTGTCTATGRATCTTGATTCCAGTTGCCTGAATCAACWACAAGCAATGAGCTGAAAAAACTCTGTATCGACAATTATTGGGAGAAGAAATGTCATTAATCTGAGTAGTAATCCATGACGTTGTGGTCGAATAAACTTCCGGAAGAAAAAACACCCACTCACAGTACCGACCATCAATTCGCTTGAATTGAAGATTAGAAGGTTTCAAAGTTTTGAATGATAAATGGGAAAAATAAATGAATGTAATGTATGCATGAATTAATGAATGCACTTCCTGGATTTAAAAAAAAATGTAACAAAGTTCTGAGAAATGGATGGACGGATGGACGGATGAGTGAATGAATGAACGTGCCGATGGTCATAGGTGCTTTACGTGGTCGCAATAGAAAAATCAAAACAGATTCGCATGGACGCATTAGAAGAGTGACGGCGATCCACGAGAAAAAGCAGCACGTTTTTATACTAGAAAGGTGAAGGTGAACCATGTGGAGGTACTACGGACGCACTGTGCGATTTAGTAAGCTCGCACCAGCGAATTTAAGTCGATATCGCTACAGGGCGAATTTCCGAGCGACTTTGTTCGCTGAGACCGGCGATCGACGACATGTCAGATATTGTGGATAAAATTTGTAATTTTCTAGTGCGAGCGTACAGGTTATTTTCATAGTACTAAAGAAAGTACTCGAAATGGACTCGTTTATTCTCAAGCTTTCAATTAAGCGTAGATAATTCTACTTTAATTCGATTAAAGAGTATTAATAAGGTGTGAAAACGATAATCAAAGACTTATCGCGTTTTAGGTGACAATACGGTGTGAATAAGCCCGGACGAATTAAGCGCGAAAGACGATTTCGAACCGGAAATGCGGCGGACTTAACCGACCCCTTTACGAAGATTACACCAAATAAGATTCGTCTAATCCAGGATTTTTTTATCAGTTATTCAGGACGATAAAAGAGAAATTCTTTACGTGAAATTCCAAAAAATGTCTTACATTCCGAACGTCTATTTTCAGTAGAATGACGACATTTTAGTAAATGTTCGCAGTACTACTTTCTGTTTGTTGTTGTTGTTTTCTCCAAAGAAACTTAAGATAATCTCCAGTCTTAAAATTCAAACGTCACATTTTTCTTGATTATGGGATGTCAAGGCGGTAAAATAAAACACACTAAATTAAAAGATTAAAAATAGTTTGAAAAAATGTATATAAAGTTATTTTAGGTGATATATATATACCAATTCGATGAATTACTATTGAACTAATCAGTCGATTTTACTATCATTGGCCTCCAAGTACCAAAAAACTATTGTGTCTGAATAATTTTTAGCTCTTGACCGGCATCTCGCCTCTTGACTACGGGCTTCCTGTGTAGCAACCGTTTTTTTTACCGCGTTGCCCAGGGCTTCCCTGCTTGCTTTTTTCAAAAGGCCCTGGTTTCTTGCTTGGGTCCCATTTCTCTCCGGTATTAATAAYAAAGGAAACCCGACCAAGGTAACCAATATGGCTGCACGCAGAGTTGGCTGAATAATTTCGTTCTTCAAACGTGGAAAAATTGGATGGAAAAAGATGGCAAAAATATCTTGTGAAACATCTGAAATATTTTGGCATGATTCCACATAAAATTATAACCCCTGAACATCCCATAATTTCTTCAGAATTAAAGATGGCGTCCGTATCAAATGATAAGGCAGTCATGTAATTATGGCCGCTGTGACGTCATGTTAACACCAAGAATAGGCGTCGTATACTAACACGTTTTCGTATATTGTTTTTTTTATCGTCTTCCCCTACACCATTCTATTAAAATCGAATATCTTAGTTTTTTGGGATGTTTTTCTCAATTTTTGTTACTGTGGTAACTTGTTCTCCTTCCCATTATGCCCTAGACGCCCGAAGAATTTGAAATGGACCCAGAATATGAAAGTAAAAACCTTCCGTTCTGTTTCCGTCTCTTTCTCTGCTTATTAGCGAAAATCGGCCCTTGTAAATACTAGTGGCTCAAAAGCCTCRGTTAAGAAGAGCTCATGCCAATGTATCCCCAGAAATAATTATAGACGAGATTAAGATATGGATCGCGCCGATAACGCTTAAATCGCCGGGTTATCGAAGTTTCCCATCTAAGCCTCTGGAAAAGAGCGTCTAAATTTGGAATTTCTTAGGAATGTTCTCGAAATATTCATTTTTGAGTTTAAAACATTTCCATTGAAAACGGCACACGATACAAAAACTGTGTCTGTAGATTTTCATGAGTATCAGTACTAATAGTTGTATGTTGGAGCTATCATCTTTGTGTATGTTGGTGAAGTTTCAAATGAATACTTCTATCATCGCTATTAATACAACTCACAAACTAAATGACAATGTAAAATTCYGTTTCAATACAGTATACCTAGAAACTATACTTACACGTTTACATGTGTTGGCCGGCCGTAACCCAAATCCGTAGATGACCAACCGAGGTAATGTGTGCARCCGCAAATAGCGAAGTGTTCTGGTCAATTTGAACGTTTACATCCCACGTTAAGAGTCTTGCAAAAACATACTAATTAGGGGAGGGAAGGGTGTGGACCTTTTGACCTCTACTAATGATAAAAAGTGGTTCTGATAGGCTTGGAAAAGCCTCTTCAATTGTTGTTAGACATAAGGGAGTATCGGCATATACACTCAACATCGAGTCTTCATCACAACGCACGGCAATACTTAAAGAAACGAATTTTTTCTGAGACACCTATTCGTCGTTTGCAGAAGTGARGTTTTATCATAGAGGCATGATCTAAACGTGACACATAATCTGCATAAATTCTTTTCAAATTGGGAACAACTACCAGGTAATGGCAGAAGTCAATCTAGCATTTACTGTAAACGTTCAAAAATACGGAAGAACAATCTTCGAGTTAAAAATGGCGACAAGTGCAACGAACATAAAAGCCTAGAGGCCAAGATGTCTAAGATAAAGAACGCCGTTCACAAAGAGGTACATCTGAATATCTTCGGTGCTGTCAAAAGTATACACAGGTACACTTTGCACTATGCCGGAAAYTCTCGTTGAATACCAAAACATACAGAAGACAAATGTACGTCGAATGGACTTACGTTATCTTGATAAAAATTCAATTTCCGAGACTAATGTTAGAATCAGTGATCTAATCACCTTCTAGCGACTAGAATTGGTACGTTTTTTCTGTTTTKKT